TGATTTTACATTCTACGCTGTGTGGTGGCGTAAGTCAATTAGAACTAGAGAAGCACAACAATCCGATCAGATTTCGCTCTGCCAACAGGTCGTTGATGATAATATGTTCACCAACGAAAATCACATGGTCGACGGAATAGTTACAAGTACACCGTTGAGAGTAGTGCCCACGTTAATTTACTGCTTACTATATTCGCTGTCTACTGGCTCTAGGAGACAGTTGGTCGTTGCTGGAGGGGACGGCGTACACGGTTCTTGTGGTCGTGTTAGGATCAAAGAGGGTTCCATGCACTCAGTGTGGAGCGGACTACGGTCCAGCCACCGCCTTGTGTGCGCTTGATTCTCCAAATACAGCGTGCTTGTGTTTGCCTGTGAAGGAGTGTGGGCCGGCTCCGTTGATGAAACGTGGTTCCCATCCGCCTGCTTTCCGGTCTTATTACTTCGGGTTTACACTGGATATGGGGTGTGTGGATGGAGCTGTGGGTGGTGCATCGGAATCCACCCATGGTCCCTCTGTTGGCGCAGATGTTCTGTGGCTGACCACAGTGATAGGCAAATCCGAAATCGGATGCCGCCGACCATATTCGCTAGATAGAATATCCATTATTTTTGGATGATAAAGTATGTAATGTCACACACTACAACATGTAAACGCAATTGTTTAGCATGCATCTTGGAGCTGCTTAACTAAATACCCCCAGATGTCGCCTGAGAAACATTCACAGATACGTTTAGAACACTGTGGGCGGCGGCGAATCTGAAGACAACCAGGGTTTAGCAAGCAGATGCAGGCCGAGCTTCAGTAGATGGCGCATCGATCAGTTCTGGCGATCCAGCGCTATACTCCATTGTCCAAATATTTTCTTGCTGGTCATTTGTTCACATTGTAGTGCAATGGTTCAGTATTCAAATGTAGATGCCTACGCAAGCTTCTTGTCGGTTAAAAGCAATATAAGCTTAATTTCACAACATCCATGTACTCCCATCAATTTGACTACACTAGTTTTACTGCAGCTTCGTCGTTTCGATCCAAAGTAAACGAAGATAGAGGCAATATGCACATTTAGTCTGCTAACCATGAAATATCGTGAATAATAATTCTCAGCCTCTCAAAATGAGGCGAGTTCTTCTGCACCACCGAGGTCCAAACACAGCTCGCAAAACTATCGCCATTGTCACTCCATGACAGATGCGTGTGTAACTGTTCCGGAAGGACCCATATCCTTCAACTGTCTTGGACCAACCGGAGGGACACAGATCGCGTTATGTTTCGTTAAGGACCGTTAGACTGCACAAACATTCCACCGTCAACCAACTTGACGCCCCATATATGTGTGAGCCAGAAAGGTCCTGTCGGCTACCTAATTGGTGCACAGAGATAGCGAACCAATTCTCAGATATGTGATACACATGTTCTCCAACCAAAATTGCTCTCAGTCTGAAACGAACATGTGGCGAGTATATAAAGTAGGTGCGCAGTGTAACAATGAAATACCGCCTAATCGCTGTGATGTTTACGTCGAAATGCGTACTACTGCTTGGTAAGATTCGTGATGAAGGCTGAGCCTCCACCTTTTCCTTCGATGCTGCTTATTCAGTGATAATATGCAACTACGGAACTGTGTAACCTACGCATATCGGCTAATTCCATTCGATAAGTATCAGGCAGCTAGTATTACTCAATATTTTTTCATTTTTTATTACCCTGTGCAAACCCAGGAGAACTACGTAACTTCTGAAATCGCTAGTAGACAGACGTAGGTATGTGTCGTCGAATCACATTCATGTCAGATGCAGTTAAAACACAAAACAATTGATTCATCCGATTAGGTCATGCGCACCTCACAACTTGCCAGGTATGCCGTTAATGTGCAGGGCCAATTGATGCCCCGCCTAGACTTAACTGTCCCTTCACACATTAGTTATTTCATTATTAAACAATAAAGTACAGTTAGGATCAGCTACCCAATTAATTGAGGATTTGTGTCTGACATCCCGAGTATACGACGCGTAGATGTGTAACAAGAAGACTGTTTAAAAGCTGAGCGCCGAAAAAGTTGCTAGGTTGGTCAAAATTCATGCGAACTCAAGTGCATAATATTCCAAATGCACTGATTTAGCGAAAGCCATACAGTGGTTCGGTAAGTTACTTAGGCATTCCCGCTGTATGCACTTCAGGAAAACCTAGTGTGCCAAACAATTTCACAATGTACTCCTCATGAACGCTACCTCTTCTGTTCAATAGCAATTGCGTTTGCGCCATGCCAACTAAGGATTCTACATGGTAAGTTCAAATTAGTGATGTGTCTTCAATTGACCTCTACAAACTGGTGGGTTAGTTGTGCTTAATTTATTTTTGCTTCAAAATATCAAGGGAAAAGTAATATGCATTTTAAGGAAAAAGCAGGCAACCAATGGAAACATTGCTAGCCAACATAACCAAATCCTTACTGCACGATAATCTTGCGAAATACTCTACCTTTCAGTGTTTACTTCATTTTCGCTTGTCTTTACAGTCATAATGATATCAGGAGTATTCCAGAAGGATGGCAATACCTTACCATTTACAGGTGAAGAGAAATTGGAGGACCATCCAGCAGCTAAACACTTTCAAGATGTCTGCATCAAGGTAGTGAATTAAGTTTTTGTCTACAGGCGCATAGCAATTGTATCAGCGTAAAACGGATTTACGAATGCTATGGTTTTCCTTGCGAATAATTAAGGCTACTACTCCAGTTTGACCCATAGACTGACCTCAAGTCTGAAAGCTTTTGCTATGTGTGCTATAATGTGTCCGCAGTGACCACTGTAATCCTATTACCCACTGTAAGTCCTTCCTTGCCATGTTATTTTAGCTCAAGGTCTCAATTTCATCCGGAACGGGCGTGCCATTCAATACGATTGCATGTGGATTTTCTTACTTAACTGGTCATGCTGAGAGCAATCACGTCATTGTCACCATGGAGAACATAGGATCTGAGGACTTAAACATGTTTGTAAGTGAATTGCTCTTGAAACTCAAAACGCGGACTAATTCAGACAAATCGGACTCAATTCTGGGGCGGAACTACGGTAAGTTGGCCCCTATTTTTGATGTTTTAATTTGCTATTCTCGTGTAGACTGTCAATTCTAACTGTCTTTGTAACGAATCTATTTTGCAATAAGTATTGATTCGATCTACCAATATTCCATGTATTCTACAGTTTTCAGTTAATTATTAGAGTAGATTGAATCCGGGATTATCATAATGTACATGGGCCCAATAAGAAGTCAAACGTCCTTGAGCCCTTTGTATTAGTGTTCCTTTGGCAAGCTAACTGAAGTCTCTATTATTTCGCAGTGACTGTCATCAATGATACGTATGCAAGTAAGTTGTTCTATCATGACGAGATTCATAGCCATCAATGACTACTAGATTACACAGGTTAGGGAACAACAATGCATTGCTGCCCATTTAATCTCGGTTATGGACAGAGTGGGTACCACTGCAGTCGCAACCTGAGAGACATTAGTCGGTGGGACATGACGCAACAGTCATAAGCACCACATCTCTCACCATAGTGAGCAGTTAAACGCAGATGACTACTCTTGCGATTATACGTCAGGTAATCGCCTGTATTAATAGTGTGAATTTCCCATTGGTGCTAAAGCATCTTCGCCAAAGTAGCGAAGGGTCTCACAAAGATCGTAAACATGGTGCATCATCATGAATGAAACACACAGGCGCATACACACACACACACACACACACTAACCAATGCCAAAAGTGCGCTTTCTTCGCACCATAAAGACAACCTCCGCCGTTTTAGTGACACTTACTTGTATTTTCCATAATTCTTATATTGTTACTCTAATTCAGCCATCCGAATTGCCATGGAATTTGTCGGAGATGATTCAACGGGCGAATGGCGCTGTGCATATGGCAGTGCAACTGAGGTTATGCATATTGCTGAGACGACGTGCGCGAAAGTAAGCAACAGTTTGGAATGCATTCGTAAACGCATTTCACTATTATATCAGGGGATGACTCATTATGATTGGAAGACGGCGGTACCAAAGAAATTACTCGAACCACTAAAATTATTTATAAGGCAAATTTAACGCGCAACTCAGAAAGATTCATCATTTTACACACGTGCCGCGCAAGGCAGCTCAAGTCGCAATATTTTTGCGAGTTTTCTATTGTCGATTGATTTGGCGTCATCTCTACTGCTTGACCGAAAATATATGGCAAGCATCGACTGGTTTCGGGAATTTTCCCAGCTAAAATACATCTGTTCGCGAACACGCACAGGTTAATGTTTGACGTGAGCCATATGCGTAACCACTCGGTTAAATTAAAAGCTATGGTGTTTCTTATTTAATCCTTGACAGGATACGGTAGGTTGGCGGAAGGTTGATCATTGCGGTGACATTCAGTGGACGAAAGCGACATATACGGCTTCGTATGTCCTTCATTTTATTACAAGTGAAACTCATGTTTTTTAGCCCACGGGTATACTCATCCGAGAGCAAGGTCGATTTATAGAACAAAGATCAATACAATGTGGCAAACATGATAATTCATCATAAATTTCCACCTCAGAAACCAGAGGCTATTAAACATAGTGGATTCTCTTGTGCTAAACGTGTATTGCTAAGAAAATAATTTACTTTCGTCACTGGTCATCTTGTATCAACTAGTATGAGCGGATGGCAAATGCAGAGAAAACAGCAGGCGACAAGAACTTCACCTGCGTTGTAAAAGGTCCACATTGGGCACATCTGGAAGGAGGATTTTTGTTGCACTTCGAGTCGGATGAAGCGGACAACATCACCGTAACAAAAAAGGATTTGGAAAAGCGAAACAACACGAGAGTTGGTTACGACATTACTGACTTGCAAATTAAACTCCTATGTGCTACACGCTAATGTCAATAATAAAGTCATATTTGGAACTCATTGTCCTTGTGCTAATGCAAGGTGAACGGAAACTGTTTAATAGTAAAAAATCTTCTTCAGCCGTGTAGGTCTATATTATGAAGTTTATGTCACGTTAACAGTTATTTTCTTACGGAGCCAAGCTAAAGTATTATTCAAATGTTAACGCATTTGATCGAGGATTAATATATGGAATACTCAAACGGTGGTATGGCACGGTTAACAAGCAAATGCTTAACGAGTCCCGTAGGATAGCTGGAATAAGAACCGTAAGAAAACAAACTGATAAGATGGAAATCCTTTTGAAAGACTCACCATAGTTTTCACATAGTGACATCCAGTTAAGTGCAAATTCGATTATGTGGATATGTGCTGGTTGTGAAGCGTTCGTCACATTATATCATCGTGATATGCACATGGTATATCTCGGAATGTAGATGAATTAGGGCAACCTCAAGTCTTTGTGTTAACACAGCTAACTTACAAGCGAAAACAAGGTAAATTTTGGAAGCGTTCCATGGATGGTACACACGAAGGGAGTACAACTTTGACCGATCTTCTAGCCAATTGCGTTGCATTGTCAAATTGAACTGGTGGTTCCTCAAATTCGTGTAGTGGCTGAGTTGTAGTAGGTGGTGGCAGACGTGTTTGGTGTTCATGAAACCTGGAAGGCTGCTACTGAATCGCCACGTAGCCGTCGATAATGATCGTTGTGCAACATTAGAGTCCTCAACCTAATATGTTATGGAGTCTCGAAGACTGTGAGACCTTGCTTGTGCCGGAGCTGCCAGGTCTGCGTTGCATATTCCACATGAGGCCGCGTATGTTGAGCGACTGCGGGCAGACAGACGGATCAAACCGTCCCAATGCCCACCGCAGCATTGCAACGTGTTGGTTTCCATTCCTTGACACCTACTCAGGTTGTTATGAGCTGTCTAGATCAGCGTGGATTAAGATCCCGTATTCCTGCTCCTGGGCGATAGTCTCCAGGCTGTTAGATGACATTCGGCTGGTGACGCATGTGAGCACATTACACTTGGATTATATCGAAGCGGATTTTGGAGTGATCATTAATACTGCCTGTCTAGGTCTTGTTGAAGTGCAGCGTGATCTTCTTGGTTGGGCATCGTCCATGATATCTTAACATCATCAGCGAAAACCAGAAATCGGAGATGACCAGAATAATAAGCTCGTTAATGTTCACGACAAGCGTTCGCGGCCGGGCACTGGTCTTTGTGGGACATCGCATTCAAAGTAAATCGGATCAGTATGTGCAATCCAAACTCTAACCTGCAGTTGCTGATTCCCAAAAGATTCCTGATCCAACTAAGGACGGGACTACCAACTCAGTAATTCTTGAGCCTAAAGCCGTATGCTGTGATCCAGGCAGCTGAAGGTTTTGAAGAAGTCCATGCAGTGATGTTACTACCAAGTGAAGTGCCCTCGGGTGAAGGTCATTCATCCTTAAAAATACTATGGATGCGCAGTAAGAGCAAATTATTTAACACAAATGGGGCAGTAACTGTGATGTTAGTAACTGCTAAAATTAAGGCTATGGATGTGGGTAAGTAACAGTTGATGATGCCTCGTTGTGAGCTCGAAGCACATTGTATCGTTAGAGCATTGGCTGTTTCTTCACCGCTCTGTGCCACTCCGACAGTCGTGTTGAGTGGGCAGACCTCACTTCAATTTCCGAATGATGTCAACATTCTAATATACAAGCTGTTCATCCTTGAGTAATTTACAAGCAAATTCGTGTTGAGCAGTCATTTAGTCCCCACGGACAAATCTATCACAATGGTTGCATTGGGTCACCTAGTCGCTCCAAGTTTTCAGGTCAAGGACGGGCTCTGTAGGTGTACCAAGCTGTATTCCTTAGGGACATGCGTTTTCGAGTTCTGCTTCTGATGAACAACGACATTTGGTGGAACGAACCCACTTAGTTTCTGTAACAGATATGATCGGATTTCTAGAGTGTCTAACAAAATGAACCTAGGCGAAATCGTGGTAGCCAGGTTTCAAGAATTCACAACTGTTGGGAGAATTGGGATGGCCACAGCGGGCGAAGCTTGAGCCGAGAGAGAGAGTGCGGATGTAGATATATAAGTAAATATGTTGTATATTTCTCGACATGAGATAAAAAGACGAAATACGTTTGTTGACTTATTTTAAAACGCTCAAATGACGGAGTTTTTTGAATGTTACAATGTATGTCCCAGAGAAGTCTTGCGGTGTTCAGTCATTTACAAGTAATAAAAAAGCGGAAAGTAAAGCATAGGAATCAATGTAAACATAGTAAACAGTTAAATTGCACTAAAGAAATTGAAGTAATACGACCATTTGTAGAACTGTCTCCTGGGGACCAGCTTGCATGCTTGTTACTTCCTCGTAAGATTTCATTCGCACTTCCAGGTCTCATCTGGCCATGTGCTAACATGGAATAAACACATGTAAGCCGTCAGTATGCTAGCTGCGATTTTTGCCCGGTGTTGTAAGCCATAGGCTAGCATCATTAAGATTCTCTTATTATGGCCACTATGATATGCAATAGACCGTCAACATGTAGACAAGTTTATTGAATCGGACACCCTTTTCCTCACCTGTGGGTTCTGTGCTAATTCGCTTTGCTTAGGTATATTTATATATCTTGGAAGTTTCGGTCCATCACCTTAGGAGATCGGTCAAGTCGAGTCCAACAATGGAGCGAAAAGCAGATTAGGTAATAGGATGAAAACCATAATGAGTACAGGTTATATGTCTCTTTAGAATGACCTGTGGTCTAGCGATTGTTTGTGTTCGTTTGTACAATCAATAAAAGAGGGCAAGTAAAAAATTATAAGCATTTGTTTTTGACAGTGCATTCAAAGTATTTATAATCAGTGTAGCTGCTGAAGTATTTTCAAGTAATACCAATCGAAAAGAATAGAAATTGCAATTGAACCGGATTTTGCGGAGTAAGGAAAACTGTAGCGTATCGCACACTTGTGACCTCCAGAAAGGAGTAGAAGATAATTAACGGCATTGAAGGAATGCAAAGTAAGAAAATAGAAAAAATTACATGAAATGTTTTTAATTTGGTTAACTGAGGTAACGTTAGGCAAAATGTTGTTGTTTGAAATGTAACTTAAAGCACCTGTTAACCGTGGCTGATTCACTGAAGTCGGGAGAAAATAGGAAATAGGTCTTTTAAATCGCAAACATCTTGCTCCAGGTGCATAAGGAGATTAAATTGTCATATTTTCTAAGCACACTAATAGCTGTATCAACACTGAGAAATGAAGGTGAGGCCTTTCGAAATTTTATCCCTGACTGCAATTCACGTATCTCACTAGGAATCTCGTTGCATAATACGGAACAGCTAAGAGAAAGTGATGCAACTGCATAGTTCTTGATCCTTTTACTAATACTTTGTTGAGCTTGATGTTGCAATTATGATACTTTAACGGTTCTTTCAGTTACAGTACCGGATTTGACGAATGTATCTTTCTAGTTAGGGATTAAAAAGACGGAACCTTTCATCCGGCGCAGCCATAACATCTCAAAATTGAAGGTAATACATTGATCCATATATGATAAGGTGAAGGAATAGCTCATGAGACCTTGAATGAATGACCATTGCACTCGCTCCAATTCCATCCGAGCACTCACTCTGGAATTGCAATGGATTATGGAGCCAGTATATAGTAATGGCCGTTTTTGTATTTTGTTAAGGCGTTACTTGCTTCTTTTAAACCAAACCTTTTGAACAGAAACTGGATGCTCCGACAAGCGTTAGCTGCAGTACGTCTAGTGGGCTCATCGATGTTTTGGGTGTTTGAGTAATGTATCTCTAGGTCATTGCTGGTATGGCATTGAGACAGTGTCTCAACGTCAATAGTAAGAGGACCCGATGTGATTTCACATCTGTAGATTACTATGTGGCATTTGTCAACGGTTGATAATTTCTATTTAGAACATCATGAACCAAGCGTACCTAATTCACTTTCTATTGCAATTGAAATATTACTGACATTTTTGGGATTAAACATGTATACAATCAATTTGTTATCGGCAAATAGAAAAGTTTTAGCAAAGATAAAGACGTCGAAAATGTTATTCAAATATAGTAGAACTACTAAAGACCCAGGAGACTGTTTTGTATCATACCGCTAGTGACTGGCTTGGGCGGGCTTGTCACACTGGAAAACCTGGGTTCCGTACGTCAGGTACGAATCAAACCACGACAGCATAGGATTGCCTATACCATATGCAGTTAGTTTGGATAAGGGCGAAGCATGCGGAACACGATCAAAACACCTTTTTATTTCAAGGTATACGACCATAGCTCATGGGCAGCAGTCAAGCGAACTCATCATATGATTGAGGTAGTCAATTTGGCATGTTATGCAAATCTGTGAGCTTAGGAAGCCGTGTTGCGAGATGTTGATATGATGTCATCAAGAAACAACATTTTTGGACATTCCATCATCTTACAGAGGATGGAGGTATGGCTTATTGGGCGGTATCACCTCGTTTCTTGAACGGATCCTGATTTGTAACGTGGGGTAACTACAGCTTACTTTCCCTGAGTTGGCACAATGCCTACTTTCATAGATGGAAAAAAGGGTTCAGAAATAGTGTGGGGATATCGCGGCCCCAGATTTTTGTATCGAGTATGGCGATATATTTTCAAGTCCAACATACCAAGAAGGTTTAGTGGATGGATCAAGATGGTCACTTTCACGGAGTTCGAATTCTACGGTGCAGAGCTAATCATCAGTAATCATGGGTAGCGTTTCGCAGGAAGCACATTAGTAGTGTTAATGGTGTAGCTAATGTAATTCGTGAAAGCGCTGCTTGAGTGAGTAGGATCACATGTTATTCGGTTGCCACAAATAAAAATGTGATGGGTTTCTGTGGTTATGCTTCTGCTTTTCAGCATGTCGAAATAATATTGCTGCTGAGCGCATTCATTTTTCCAATCATGTACCTGTTTTACTTAAATTTTACCAGTTCGGCAATA